TTTTTTTTTTTTAAGGTGAATGTGAAACATCGCCTTAGGCATATTTCTAGAAGTAGCAGTGACGGTTCACAGTCGAAAGATGGATCAGACTGTGATCATCGTTGTATTTCTGTGCGCAAGGTTTGCCGCCTCATCCTGTATTTCTGAACGTTTGAGCCGTTTTTCTTGATATTATATTCCGACACTGTTACAAAGAACAAGTTTAAGGTTGCTAAGGAGTCAGTCGTACGCGGTCCTAAACTTCTTGAGCCAGAACCACTAATTGATCAGTCTAGTTCTTTACTCTCAGATGTGCGAAACTGCTCTGCGGCAATGGATGCTGGTGAAAGTGCACCAGTAGAAAGTAACGGCAGAGGGGAGGTTGGTGATGAAGATATGGTTGAGAATCCAGAGGAATTTGTTGGGGGAAGTGTGTGCTCTCAGGCTGCGTAAGTATATTCTTGTAAAAGTGTTGCAACATTTCGCTGTACTCTTTCCGTATATATTCTTTGTTTCAGCAAACCAGTTTCAAATGAGAAATGTTCAAATGATTTATGTGCTTGCGAAAGTAGTTGCGATAGTGGAGTTACTGAAGTATCAGTTTCCCATTTGGAGTGCCCTCTACTTGGGGATTCTTTTGATTGCGCTACATGTATTTATTTCATTTGTTTATTATTATTTGAAATGCAAAGCTGGTTTTGCATAAGGAAGTCGATATTTGGCCACATCGGAGCGTAAAATTTCTTATTACAGCATGGACATATGATTTATTTTTAGCAGTTAATGGTAATGAAGAGGAATTGATACCTGCGATAGAAAGCAATGCTGAAGTGCCTAGTGGCAAGTTTAGCGTTTCAAATGCGGAAGGTGGTGCGAAAGATGTAAGTTTGCCTGCTAGTTCTTCAATTCTATTTTGACTCTTGAATAAAAGTATATCATTGCAGAGGAAAACCTCTACCTTGTCATTGCAAGAAGAATTGTTATTCATAGAAGGGGACGGTAGTGGAAACAGTCTTGCTGGGAAAGGTTGGGCTTTCTGTTCGCCTCAGTCTAATCAGGTTGGTTTACAGTAAAATGGAACTCTTCTTGCTTATGCGTTTGTTTTTTGGTTTTTGGATCTGTCAAGCATGAGTTTTTTCTCGTTCTTTGCTTGTATTCTTCATAACTGGAAAAGGAAAGTTTCTTCTAACTTTGCCTTATTTTATAGCATGACTGGGAACAGAATTCCGGACAATCATCTTCTTTAAGGACTAACTCATCTCATAATTTTGATTGTATGATTCGTAATGTAATAATTGGCAATGAGAACAATGAGGTGCGTTTTCACCGCTTGACTTGATTGCTTATAGCATTACTGCTTTCCTCAAGAAAAATACTGTTTAGTTATTTATGGTCGCACATTTTTCATGTAGGCTTCACTTATTTCAACACTATTTTCCAGTTTTTTGATTGCTATTGATTCTTTTAAGTTAGAGACCTCTGTGAGGAGCAGGTTGGATAGTGAAGATTTCTCTGGGACATTCAATGATGAGGCATCTAGTGGTATCGAAATAGGAACAGCTTCTGTTCGTGAAAATGCTGACGAGGGGTCTTTCATAGCGACTGCAACTTTTCATCAGAATGTAAATAAAAATCCGCCCAAAAAGGGGCTTGACCAGGTTGGCGACAAAGGACTTCACTATTCTCTTAGATACAGCTTATACTGTACGTCATCTGTCATATTTTTAGGATGTCGTCTTTATTGAAGAAGAGGACATGAATGGGGAGGACGAGTGTGGGATTTCTCGAGAACTTATCCCTTTATTAACCGAAATAGCTCACTCAGCAGGATTAGCGGAGCAAGATTTCCGTTGTCCTCTATGTAGTAAATCAATTGGTCCCACATTTTCCCCATATAGGTTGTTAAATATTGTAATTCTTTTATCAGAAGCACTAAATTTGTTTTGTATCAATTTTATTTAAGTGTTACAATTTAAAGAGTTTGCGGTCTTGATGGCAAGTACTATTGCACAAATTGTTGCCGTAAGTCGGATCAGAGCATTATTCCATCCCGTTTGATCCATAATTGGGATTCGCGACCTTATCCAGTTTGTCGTGGGAATTTGTCTTTTCTTAGAGCAGTGGAAGATCGGCCGATAATACGGTTAGATAAAGTCAATCCTAGCCTTTACGACCACTGCCCAACTATGAAAAAGATTTTGGTTAGTTATGTGGGTTCAATTTTTTGCAAAATTCGTGCTTTTTGAACTTGGTTTTATTTTTGGGTTGTCAATTTTGGCAAGCTGGTTTACTTTTATCGGTTCTTTTCCCTTATACTAATTTGTTGTTTCTAATAAGTTGAATCTCAGAATTTGCGCGAAAAATTGTCATCAGCAGCAATGTACTTGCTATCTTGCCGACAGTCTGTTGCAGAGGACCTGCGACTTCGTCTATGGCCGAAGGAATACTTGTACAATGATATACATTTATATTCATTTTCGGCAAGTGGTGTCATGTTTTACTCAATGGGAGAGGTGCTTCTTCATGAAATGTATGCTTTTTTCTCATTTGTTTGTTTCAGGATTTTCAGTGCGCCTTATCTGGACAGTTAGAGGGACACTTGAATTCAATCATACGTTATGCAGTTAATCACATATTTCACTGTAAACTTTGCGTTCAGAAAGGATTCTTCTGTGAAATTTGTTCGTCTCGTGAAGTGATATATCCTTTTCAAGTCGAAACAACTGTTAAGGTGAAGCTTGGTTACACTGTTTGATTTCCTTTTGTAAGCATCAATCTTTTTGAAATGAGGTTTTTTATTCATATAGTTTTGTTTATTTTAGTAATTAAAGTTTTTTGAAATGTTTTTTAGTGTGCTACGTGCTTTTCTGTTTATCACAAACGTTGCTACGAAAGTGACCATTGTCGAAAGTGTGCTAGAAGAGAACATTATGCCGAACGTGTGTCTTCTTTAGGAGATCATCTACCCTTGGAATAGTTTATCATCTTGATCACCTTTGACGGGCTTTTAAAATTGTATATTTGTTTTTTAGGCTGTTATTTTCTTTGGTCCTTTTAAACCGTTAATTTCCACAGTCGTAATATTTTCTTCGTCTAAAAGGTGTGTGCAGGAATCTTTTTAGTGGTATCTCAAAGTTGCTGTAGTAAGACTTTTTCAAGTTGTTTAATTTGAACAAAGATCTTCGTAGCTGTTATTGGGTTCTTACTCATATTTCCGAAATGTTGTTTTTTTTTTCTTGGTGTTGACCAGCATGGCGTGTATTGTAAAACTTTTAAGGAAGAGCACTTTACCTTTTCTAATTGCTCTGTGCTTCCAGCTTATTATGACGGTTTTTTCTGATCTCTTCAGCTCACGTTTCTCTGCTTATTAAATCTCCAGTTTTCTGTTTAACTTTCGAAAAAAAAATAGAATCTTATATCTCCTAATTTTTAATTTTGCGATCAGATTTTGATGTTTAGTAGTACTCAGTTTATTGATTCTTTTTGTTTGTCTTGAGTCTTACAAAGAATAATCTTTTGCTTGTAACCTTTCTTGTCCTAAACGGTCCTATGTTTTTAAACTGTTCACAATTACTAGCTTTAGTACATTCCATTCCGGTGAGTATCACGGGTGGTTCTTTTCATTTCTTTGCTTACCGCTCTTAATTTTTTTTATTGAAATTGATATCTTACAGATGGGTTTCCTAACGGAAAGCTCTGTAGGGTTTTGTAAAAGATGATCGTAGAGTTCTTTATGTTGTGTTGTTCGACTCTCCGTTCGCTCGTAATGCTTTATTGAAAGTCGGTCGTTTGCAGAAACAAACTTTTTCGTATTGCGTGGTTTTATGAAAATCTGCTTTTGAAATTTTTAAGTACGCATGTTGAGAAAAGTGTAAATGACACATTATTTTGTAAACTGCTATTTGTCTTTCCATTTTCAAGGGAAATTATCAGTCTTTGTCAAGTCAGGTTTTGTATTTAGCGACTATCTTCGTAGGACGCTAGCTTTTGTTTCACATCAGTTTTTTTGAGGTGTAGTGATTCGAGTAAATTTTTTATTATTTGTATTCGCTTGTCTTACGAAAGTGTGTTTTCTCGAATGTGCGGCAAAGAACATTTTTTCTGGTAGCATGCATTTAATGTCTTTTTCAGCTTTGTTTTCATCACTTGAAATCGCGGAAGGTTGTTTGAGGTGTTTGACAATGACAAATAATGACAAATCCTAAGAATTGATCGGTTTTCAATCAAACATTAGGAAGTGGGTATTATTACGCTTTATGATTAGTTTTTTTGCGAGCTTTGGTCAGTGGTAGTACAGGTGGAGATTGTGGCGTTTTGGATAATTTTTGGGAGGGTTGGTGTGTTTCGTTTCTGTGCTCAATTGTAAAAAAAGTGGGTTGGTGATGAATAGAATAGAGGGGCTGGGAGAGGCGTCAATTGAACTGCCTTCAGATGAAGACGGTTCAGTGTTATTTTGAGAACGCCTTATTGTCTGTTGGAAACGAATGTGAACTTTTTGAGTGGAGCTGAGGAGTCTCAATTGGGGTCCAAAATTTTTTAATTTTTGAGTTCTAGGGTCTTCTAAACTTGTACAGTCAGCTGCCAGGGGCGCCAGTAGTGCAAAAAAAGAAGGTTTATCTTGTTAATTGGAATTGGTAGGGTGAAGCATCCTTTATCCAGCAAGATGGAACCAGACGGTTTTTGTCGAAGTAAATTCAGTTTTGTAGGCTTGTTATATTTCCAGTCCATAAAAAAACTATATACTCCTAGTTATTTTTAGAAAGTTACGAGAATGTTTTCTGTTTTAAGAATGTTGCTCAGAATTACAGCTTGTTATGTACAAAGAATGATAAGCCCTTCACTTTTAAAAACTGATTTGAAGAATTTAGTTTTCATTCTTTATAACTGGCACTTTGCAGGATTCTTTTCATCAACGTTTAATCTTTTACTTGGGAAGGGAAGGGGCAGATAAGATTAAATGCAAAAAAAAAAAATACGGAAAAAGCAACTTCTTTTTTTCTTAGACCTTATCAAAACAATTTCTGCGGGGTTTTTATTTTTGAGCTATTCAGTAATCGTAGGGATGAGCAAGGCACTCGAGTAATTATCTTTGAAAAACGGAGTTTGATACACTACTTTTCAGGATCTACCTTTTTTTTTTTTTTTGAAAACCTACATCTCTAATTTCTCTGGCAGAAATAAAATATTCTGTGCAGTAGTAATGTTGAAAAACACTTTGTGAACAGTGTTGTACTGGTAGAATACGGCATTGATAGGAAATTTGCTGCAGCAGTCAATCACTTCTGAAGGTGCGGCGGTCAGAACTACGAGTAACGCTGTTTCTCCACTATGCAGGAGCCGAATGACGTTTTATAATATACTTGTTATCATGTCGCTCGATTCTTCACATCGTAAACCCGCGTGTCAATACTTACTTGTAGATGAGAAAGCTTTATGAAAAACGTGATATTTTAAAAAGGTTAAAGATAACGTTTTTTGAATCTGTTGATGAAAGAGGGTTATATATTATTTTTTACTTTTATATAAGATTCCATTGTTGTACAAATTCTGGAAGCGGCTGACGTGTTTTTACGCTGTAAAGGTCGGTTACCAATGTTTTTTTATTTCGATAAGCTTGATCACTGCTTTTTGAAACTTTTGAACTTCTTGGACATTTTATCTAGACCGGACTTTTTGCATACTAGAAGTACTTCTTGTGGTGAAGGTACACTAATTTTTGTTCCGCTTTCTTGGGATGAAATTACCGGTTTAATTCGACAACTCATTTTTAGAAATTTAGCAAAGGCCGAAAGTGTGCCACGTGATTTTCCATCACTTTGTCTTTGTCTTTATTTTATTTATTGATGCGAAAAGACAGCAAAAAAGTTATAGGGGAAGTCGAAGTCGCATTTTTGTGTAATCCTCATGAATCAGAGTGATTTTAACAAAGCGCCCAATCCTTCCTAATTAGGCTTCACTTAATACTTCTCTTCTAAGTTACAAAAAACCCATCAGTTACAGAATTTTGGCTGAATGGAAAAGTGGTTTAACAAAAATTTGTTCAAAAATTATCTTAAGGACCTGAGATTGCATTTTAAAACTTTAAAAAATTTAGTGACGAAACGATACAATTTAGTTTTTTGAGACCTAGTCTAATTAGTAAATAAATTTACCGCAACAGATATAGCGTATTTTTATAATTTTTAAATAAATCTTTACTATAGATCAACTTTGACTTACTGCCGCACAGGTGGTTGAACTGGGTAACAAATAATCTAAAAATGGAAAGGAACCTATATTTATAACTGCGAGAAAAGCACTGTTTGTTGTTATCGCTTCGTCTAGATGTGACTAGTCATAAAGCAAGTATAATTTCAAAAAAAAAAAAAAAAAAAACCTTTTTAATTTTTTATTTGACGAAGCCTGAGTAATTGTTGGGATATAACGATCAAATTTACTCTACGTATCCCGTTTTAGCACATTTTCTTACTGTCAGTGGTGACTAACATCATGAGCATTTCATCAGTTAATTATTACAGCTAAAGAGAATGAATTATAAAACACTCTAAAATAAATTTTTACTTTTGTACACTACCAAACTGAAATTTGCAGCAGTGTTCTTGCTGGTAAAAATGATATAAAAGAGCATTTTTATAATGAAGGCTTTCTTGTTGATTTAATCATGACTGCAAAATAATTCTTTGACCATAAAAAATGAGATTAGGCGCATTAGCGTCACGAATTGTACAACAGTTTTTTGATTAGGACGGTATATACAGTCGTTTGAACTTCCCCAAACTGATTATGTTTTCACTGATTTTGGATTATCGGCTTCTCTTGCTTTATTATTCTGTGCTGGATTCTGTACTTCATTGTTGTTTTCGCTTTGTCATTTTCTTTCACTGTGTTTTTTAATCTCAAATCAAAATATCAAGCAAAAAGTAAGCTACTTTTTGAATTATTTTTACATTTCTTAAATGTGATCTTTTTGGATGAACTAACCAGTAAATGAATATTGACACTCGTTTTTTTCAAATCTGGAGTACATGTAACAGACAAACGTATCTTTGAGCAGTGTTCTTTTACAGACTTCGTATAAATGAAAAAGAAAAACAAATGAACAAATGACGGCAATAGAGATGCTGTATTTCCTAAATTTAAAGTCATCTTAATCGGTGCAATTTTTTTAGCTAGCTTGTGAAGCAAGTGTTAGGTAGGGTAAATAAAGCTTTTTTTGAAACAGTGGTTTTTAAACGTTGCATTCAATATTAAAACAGATTTTTCTGTTTCATATATCTGAGTATGTGTTTGAACAAAATTTTTTATCAAAGAACTGTAATCGCGAATTAGACAAATCTCTATTCACTATTTTAAAAAACTTCGTCTGAAGACGTTTTTTTCTATTTGTGTACTTCTTTATATTCTTTTTTTTGTTTCTTCAATGTTTCCACATTTTTACAAAAAATAAATTTAAAATTCGAAAATAATTTGGTGAAAACTTTCCAATTCTCTGTAACAGCTTCTCAGAATACAAAATATTCCCTTGCAAAACATTTGTGGTTTTGGAATTTTTTGCTCATTGTCGGTTCAGTCGTCGCTTACCAATCCTAAACGCTTTTCCGGATGAAATTTCCGAAGCTAGAATGATCTTTGATAATGAAGAATAATATTATGCCAGTCGGACGGCAATAATTTTAGAAATAATATTTGTTGAACACCTCTTTCGCTTCTGTCCGTCATTGAAATTTTTTGAACGAAATTGTGTAGAAATATTAGATAATAGAATAATCGTGGCATTTATGCTATTTTGGTATTTGAATGTGATGTGGTGGTTCGTCAAAAAAAAAAAAAAAAGGAAGAAACTTTGGAGTAAATTTTCAAAAAAATTTTTTTGTTTTTTCGGAACAATTTTTGTCTTTCTCAGCAAATCACTGTAGTTTATCGTTATTATAATAATTTTCTAAATAGCTGACAAAAGAACAAAAATAAAAAACAAAAATGAAGACCATACTTGTCCAGACTTTTTCCATTTTCCCTACATTTAGAATTCAGCTTCCGATTGAGACTGAAGTGCTTTGAAAATGAACTTTTCAAATTATTCTACCACTGTAAAAATTTTCTAAAGAATGCTCTCTAAAGTGCAAACTGCAAAATAAGTCGGTTAAGAAACATTAGCAGCAACGACAGGAAAAGCATGCTTTACAGTGAAGTTATCTAAATTAGCTTCAAATAAAACTAATTAAACTTAAGAAGATCTTGGGTTTTTTAAACCAGGATATTTAGTTGCTATAAGAGCTCAAAAAACTAGGTAACTGGTGATAATGAAGACGAGTCTATGCTTCTAAGACCATTAAGTTTACTAAAGCCATTATTTCTCTTCAAACAAGAAATGAATTACATATTACTGAAATATTTAATGTTTTTTTAAAAAGGGTTACCTAAATAGATAAATTTTTAGTGCTTCTACTATTACTGGCACAAATTTTGATGTTAATTCAAGGCAAATGTAGCACTTTTGACGGGGGAAAGTGTTGCTGATAAGAAATAAATCTGCAACCAGGCTGAATGGGTGGTGAAAAAAAAACTAAATCGCAGAAATTTTCGAAAACGACATATTCTTAAAAGAATACAGAAATTGTAGGGTATGTCTAATTGTTAATCGTACTAATTTAATAAGTTTTTACCGATGTACCTTTTACATGAAGGAGTAAATGATCGAAAGTTAGACCAGATTAAGTAACAAATTTTCAGCGAATGATTTGTATGTCTCAATGTCTTAACAGCTTTGTAACAAGAAGATATATTGCTGTGAAGAAGTCATTCGGGTCTTTCTTATACTACAATTTATGAAATTTGTCATATTCCTGCTTTGAAATAAAATACAATTTTATGCATTTTAAAGCGCGAGAAAGGCAGGAGCAGATACGATTTCTAGGTTGGCATTTCATATTTACTGAAAAAGTATCAAAAGGTTCAAACGTTTTTGTAGCGGCTTTTGCAAGCATACAACTTCTTACAAATTAAAAAAATTCCTCTTTGTAGCATTCTTAGTTTTATCTTGTCGCTAAAACTAAGTTACTTTTTGTTGAAACTGTCAAATCATGGAATATAAAAGACTGTAATTTTTTGTTGACCCAAGCTCAGATACGCCGCAAACTTTAAATCTGTCATGAACAACAGTCTAGCACTTTCACTCTAGTCTACTTCATATTACAGATCTACAAGTAGTATAATCAGACGACCACAAATTGTTAAAAAAATTTTTCTCGCCTTTAAAACACACTTCGCATATCATACATCGGTTTATGTGCAGAACACAGGTTAAAACAAGCCTTATTTAGATTTGGCACATTAATAAACTAGGTGTTACACAGCTGGCACTCATTCTTTGACACAGCAGCACCTTTTTAAATATACAATCAAACTTGTCAACAATTTTTTCCTTTATTCTAAAATTAATCTACTTATAGGAATGTGGCAGTAAAAATTCATTGCATTTGGCCACTAATCTGAAATGAGAATATAACGAAGCGCTATAGTAGAAATCAAAAAAAAACCAAGTTAAATTTTCGTACCATAAATTCGCTCTATCCATCTATCAAAAAAACATTTTTCTCTTCTAGGACAACGAGAATCAGTGCTACCCTGCCATTTAATTAGTCAAAACGTTGCAAAAAGCTGAAAATTTTAGTTTAATTCCGTTTTACAATTGCCTTAACAAGTGTGTGTCTCAACCCTAAGGCACCATAAAGTTTTTGACACGACAGCGGCAAAACTAAGAGCAAATGTTACAGTTGTTTCTTTAAAAATAGAAACAAAGAATGCTAAAAAGTGACATTTTTCAAAAATGTGGGCTAAAAAAAGGACCTTATGGAATATTTCCCACCTGACTGTTACAAACTTCTTATTCAATACCAATATTTTCAAAGCCCAATTTTACTGATTTCGTCACTCATTCTACAGCACTGAACAGAGCACTCTTTATGAGTCAGCAGTAACTGACCTTGTTTACCCAGCTTTCCCTCAAATAAACCAGAACTTTTTTGCTCTAACGTTATAACGGTTTGTCGTACTTTTATCATTTAACAATCATTTTTAATTAAATTTGTACAGCTTTTCTTTATTCTGCACTCTTTTGAACAAATGACGACTGTTAAAGAAACCGGTACTTAACTCTGAATCATTTAAAGGTAAGCTAGGCAAAAAAACTTTTAACTTTAACTTTTCACTTTTCCACCTACCTTCAGACCTTAAAATTTTATTTTTTCATACATTTGTTTAACCGCACCTCCAACCTCTCAAAACCTAATTTTCTAGTACACATGTTCATTTTCCTATCGTCCATCTGCATTCTTTGCCTTGTTAGATTTCATGAAACGGTTCATAACCTAAATTCTTCAATTTCCATTAATTAAAAATGCACTGCATGACCTAATTCTCTTTCGAGATGACACTCAAAATTCGCATCTAAACTCAAGTAAGGTTACACAGCCTCTTGAAAAGAAGAGCAAGTGAAAATTTGTGTATCTCATTTTCGGATATGTGTTTATGCAGTAAACTGTGCAGAAGAAGTATCAAAAAAGAATTTGGAATATGAGTACCCTGGTTTATATCTATTTTAAAAGCCTGCATGGAGCAAATACTTTTTTTTTTGAATTTTATTATAAGCCAAACTCTTTCGTGGGATACCGTTCTTTTATAAGATCTTGAAATAAGTTTCATTTCCCTGCGCTTCTTCTTTAACAACCAGAAATGTTCTGCCCTTGATTCTCTGTTCGCAAGCACAGTTTTTGCGCTGAATATTAAATTTTTTTTAGTGTAATCGAAAGGACTACTGCAACTTCCAAAATGCAAAAGTAGCTTCTAATTTTGTAAAGTTGAAGTCCCTTGAGCAGCGAATATTTTTGCTTTAAACAATTTTGGATTGCAAATTGGAAGTAGTACGGTTTAGAATTGACCGCTGTCTGAGAAACAGCCTCTACGCCCGCATTGTCAACAAACTACTCACAAAGGTACATGAGACACATATTTGATTTGCTTTTAAATGTTTCATAAGTTTGGTTCTACTTCACAAATCAGTTTTTTTATCACATAAAAATTTAGCTACCCAGCGGTTTTTTAGTTGAATTGTCGCCCACGAAGAAAACGAGATGATCCTGGGTATCTTGCTGAAAACAGACAAAAATAAAGTTTTTAAAATGCTGTTTGCGTGAGAGATTTTTTGATTGTGTAATGTGCGATTTTTTAATGTACCAAATCTGTTGTAGCCACGGTTTCCGAATCGTGAACCATAGTTAACCCTTGCTACAAAGCCCCAGCCAGGCGTATAATAAGGAGGGTTAAACGGAGGTAAAAAAGGATGATTGTTCCATGGTCCGCCAAAACCACTACCCCAGAATGGTCCAAATGGCTGGTTCGGTCGTTGTGTGATTACCGGAACGTTTGTTGGTCGTGTAGGAATTTGAGGAGGTGTCTGAGTTTTTGGTGCATTTGAGTTGGACCCTGAACAGAAAAAAATATGTGCCTCTCTTTCCTCAATTCAGATTTAGCAGTATACAAATCAATTTTGCGCAACATATCAGTGTTAAGTAAAACGTAGAATTTAATTCAAAGAAGTAGATTTTTGAGACTATTATAAAATTTTATGCATGTTAAACTCACCGTAAAGCTCTTGAATTTTTTTGATATCGTCTTCACCAAGTTTCGGATCTTGATAGTTGCCGAACTTATCTAAGGGATCTTGGTAATAAGGAGCCATTATAGAGTTCTGATCGCTGGAATGATCTAGACCGAGAACATGGCCAATTTCGTGAATTGCCACGTAATGAAGATCAGTGTAATCTCGTCTGGAGCAAACACAGTTTGAATGCATTGCTTAATTCGAGTTTTGTAAAGACGGGTGATAGCAGCCAAAAACCTTCTTTTAAATTCATTTGGGTTCGGAATATTATAGTTTGAGTTAAGACACAAATTATGAACACTGCCAATCACAGAACATAAGTTTATGCAAGCGCTTCTGTAGTTTAAACTTTAATTACTGTGTAATAAATATTTTTATGTCATTATTAAGAATGAAAGGCAGCATTACCGCAGTTGTGTTGTGTCTTTGATAGTCCATAATTCATCGTCGTCAAAATGAAGAAATTTTTCTCCTGCTGAATATGGCAACGTTGCGTGCGCTAGTACGCCGCCTTAAATCGCATCTGCGATAATAGGTTTGTAAAAGAGGCTTTCGTTTAGTACTCGTTTGTAAGTAGCGTAAATTGACAAGTAACTGACAAAATAAAAACCTTCTTTTGTTAAGTTTTGTTTTTAGGCGAGTCTGTCTAAGGCTTTACCGTTAAAATTAAGGGATGTGACTGACCTCTGCCGTCGAATGGCCAACTGTCACCGTGCGCTCCTGTACCAAACTTGAGGTTTACGTCGCTGTTCGTAAAAACTGCTCGGAATTTCAATGGTGTTACTGCCGACCATTTATCAAAAGACTCTTGTGCAACTTGTCTAAATTTAAAAAAATACCTTCAAATAATGAGGTGATTTACACGTATCTCTTACGCCAGTCATTTTAGATTAAACCAGTGTGAGTTGCTCAATTCGTTATAAGCAAACTTCTCAAGGAAAATAAACTGGCTTCTAACTGTTCTCATCTAACTTGTTTTTTTGCATTATTATTTTGATATCAGAAATTTGAAGTTTTTACCTGACTTTTTCTAGAGAAAATCCGGCAGTTTTGCCATAATTTTCGATCTTGTAGGTCAGCTCTGTTTTCTGCCACTTCGGACTCAAATTAGAAACTATAAAAAAGTTTCAAAAATCAGTAACAAGTGCTGTTTTTAGAAAGGTATGGACTACATGAAAAGTAGTAAAAGTCATTTTATTTTAACAAAGTTTGTTTTAACTTTTTCAACTAAAGTCTGTTGCCTACGGCTCTAACAGAACTTACATTTGATAAGATTTTTGAATTGTCAGCGAAACGAGTAATCTCGTAGGCTCTTAGTCAAACAGGATTGTATTGGAAACATACCGCGAACGTTTTGAATGTCTGGGAGACCGCATCGTCGCTGTGACATTTTTTTTCTGGTCGCCTCATCTAATTCTCCAGTAACTTTCAATCCTGCCATTTCTTGAAATTTTCTAAAAACTTTGTCTTCACTAGAATACATGAAAATTAAAAATTTACTCGAAATTTTTCGCATTTGAGTGGGTTAACTAGAATCTGTAATTATGAAACGGGTTGGCTGCCAAGTCTGAAAAGGTTTATTACGTAGAGGCACTGTTGCTTCCTGAACAAAATGAGAATTTTGATAACAGTTACACGATGCTGATAACAGATATGAAATTAACTTTCTTTTGGGTCAAAACTGTTCAAATGGTAATCGAAATGAAAAAGCTGGATTTGCATAGGAAGTTTTCAGCAAACCTTAATTTATTAAAAACTGTAAGTAGGCAATGGAGAATAGGTTATACCTGTTTAACAATAAAATGTTTTAAAAGTCTAAAAATAATTTTAGATTTAGGATAACCGAATAACTTCGCTTTCTAACATACTTTTTCATTGCGGTTTACCGATAAATTCCAAAACTGATTATCCCAAAGCAATCGATTTTAAAAAGTAAAAAATTTGCAGGAGATTTTTTTTTCAACTTTTTGTTTAATAGACTTTATTTTGATGTATAGAGGTATAATTTTTAATAATAGTAGTAGATAAAGGTTTGAAACTATAACATTAATTTTAATATGTGAAGAACGCGGTTTTCTCTTAACGTTGTCAAAACACTTTGAGACAGTTTAGTTCTTGGGACTTATGCAAACTTCGCTGTAACCTTCTAAAAAAACTCTTGTTCCTGAATAATTTTTTAATTGGAGCTTTTGTCTAACGTTTTTCAATAATTAAAAAAATTTACCCATATCCACTTACTTGAATCGATCGAGTTATTATAGTGGTTTTAGAAGTAAATGAGAAGTTGATTAGTTTTTTGAACTCAGTGTATTACTTAAACAATTACTGCGTCTTGAAACAATATTTGAAAAAAATTTGAAAAAAAAGTTCTATTTTTTCTGTCAGTTTTTTTTATTCCCCAACAACATAATCGTTACTGCTGCTTTTAAAATAAACGTCTTTTTGTACATTTGCGGGATAAGAAAAAAGGTTGGTATACAAATACGGTGCCCATTTAGACAGTTTGTCGCTTTGGATGCTGTTTTCATCAGCTTCGCTGTTTTGACATTTTGGCTAAATCAGGACGAAAAAACGTTGACTGCTTTTTTTCCACCTCGTTTATTAAGAGATGTTTTAGACAAACTATTTAAGGTCACTGCAGTTGATGACGTTAAAATGAAAACTATTTTCTTGTCGCTAATCGAGTGCTAAATTACCCTATCCTTCTTTACACAGTTGCTTTAATTTGGACATATATACTCAGTCTTTCTTCAGTTTTTTGAAATTGTGCTTCCCACACTTCTAAACCTTCTCTTCATGATGCCTCAGATAAGATGAGCTGTAACAGAATTATATTAATTTTTGTAACTGCAGACTTTTCCTTTAGTTTTTTACAAATTAAAGTTTTAATATAAAAAATTATCTTCAGTTTGCTGAGAAAACAAAAACTTTTCAGACTTTGGTAGATCATAAACTTGACAGAAAATTGTATTTTTACTTTGGCTTTTTAAACTTTTCGCTAAATTTTACTATTTGTAAAAATTTAAAAAAATGTTTAAGGAATTGGGAAAGCTAGAGGTTGCTGCCACCTCAACTTCTGCCTCGTTTATTTTATTCTATCGAACCTTAGCAAATTCAAAGATAAATTAATGCTTGTACTTCCCCTTTAAAATTTGATTTTAACGCATATTGCTTGTTTGTTTTTTTTTTCCTTTCTTGGTCAACATTTCTTACTGTTTTGAACGAGAACTTAAAAACGCAAGCTCTAGCAATTCTTAATCTGACCGAATAACGAAGGCTCTTTTCAAAAAGCAAATGTTAGAGCGGCAGCTCAAGAAGCCTGCAAATAGTATTTCCCCGTATGCAGCCACACTGCAATGACTAAAATTTCTAAACAGCTATTGAGGTTAATTTTGGAAGAATATATCTCAATAGAACTTGCTGATTCGCAGCGATTAGCTACCGTAAGCGGCACAGAAGCTTTTCCAACACTTGAAAAAGTTCCTTTTCAGACAAGTCTGTTGCGTACAGTGAGCATCTGCAACTGTAGACGGTAGAGCGCTGGTCAAAAAGTAGCCTATAGCTGTCCATTTGAATGACATGAAATAATGCGTGTGTCTTACTTTTTGAGTCTTTTTGTTACTGATCATTACTACTCAACAATTCTGAAACACTTATTTACAAAAAAATCTGCTGTAATTTACGACATGTGAAAACCGCCTGCTGGCATTCTTTCACTTTTAGAGTTCCGAATTTCCAAGTTACTGGACTGGCAAAGCTGATTCACGTTGGCAATTCCGTAACTATTCTAGCACCTGTATTTACACTTAATTCGGAACCAAAATAAAGCATATAGTCTACTGAAGAAAATGACAATAACTATAAGTTTTTTTTCTAGATCAGCTTAATATCTATTGTTGCTGCTATTTCTCATTTCAGTCTTGATATAGTCACGTTATTCTAGCTGTTGCATAACTCTAAATATAATGTTATTCCTGTAATATAATTTGGAAATTTTAAACAGTTATTCTTATTCTTGACTCTGTTTGACGGCAGAAACTGCAAGGGAATTTAACCTCCTCAATCATTAAATGCTTCGACGGTGACAGTTCTCGTTACTACTGCTGGACAACTTACTTTAACCCATCGCGAAGTTTTTCCTTCTCTTCATACTCTTCCAGCTTTTCGAGCGATTTTACTCCGTGATTAGTTTGTTTTTCTAAGTAACCGTATTTGGCAAGGTATTCCTAAAAAATAGAATAATCGTAGGTTTGAAAAAAATAGTTTAAAATGGTTTAAAAGTGTGTGACTGAGTTTTATAGTCAGTAAGCTGAACAGGAGAAGAAACGTGCAAACGATAGAAGAACGAAAAGATTAATTCCACAAAATTTTTGTCTCTTGATCTATAGCTATAGTACTTTTAGCTACGTACGCGTGCAGCCTGGTCATTAACCGAGGTGGCAAAATTATTTATTGATGCGATTGTTTTGGCAACCAGCAGTACGATCAGTAATATCAACATCTGAAGGATTATCAAATATAGAGTAAGGTCGACTTTTTTTCTTGTTATATCAAAATCAGTTACGTATTTCTAAAATTTACGAGAAAGAAGAACACGGGAAAGAATGCAGTACAAAATGATTTTTGGGATTTCTGCAATATAACTGGCGGTTAACTGTTCATCATCAATATACTTTTTTAGCCCTAAACTTTCAGCATTTATACAATTGATTACTAGCGAAAAAGCGGCACTTTAATAGGGCATTATGATATCATCAAAAAGGTTTCAATAATCGTGAAGAATACCCACAATCTGAAGAGTTTTATTTTGAATAAATTGAACAAAAGACCCAAAATAAATTTCTTTTTTATCTTTTTTATTTATTCTTATTTTTTTTCTTTTTTTTGAAGGTAATAACTCTTGAAACGTAACAGAAGAAGAAGAAAGAAAAATTATGGAAGAATATGAAAAAAAATGTGAACAAATTATTGTATTTGACAGTTTTTGATCGTTTTAAGCTAAAGTTTGTTTGTAAAAGTCAAAGGAAAAAGAATAAGAAAAAGGCTTCTATTTTTTAGTTTACCAATAAAACCTTTCTGCGATGATTTATTACAAAATTGTTAAAAAAATTTGGTGCCGCAGTAACAAAAGTTCAAAAAACCCATAGAGAAACAATGCTACTTTATTTATTTGCAGCTGTGTTTAGTCATTGAATAAATCCATCTGTACAAATACAGCATATTTTCGTGATCTTTTAGTTGACTTTAAATATAAATTAACTTTGACTCATATCTCTGTAACTTGTTACTCCAAGTGACGAATAATCAGAGGAAAAAAGGGAATTACACTCAAAAGTGTGACAGGAGTACTATTTTTTTCCTCTTTTCCTTTTTTTTTTCAAAAACATTTTTTCAAAACATATGATTGATATCATTTTTCAAAAAGTTTATTTTTTGTTTTTACTCATCTGAACTTTGGGTACTTTCGTTTATAACGACCAAATTACTCTGTCTGTTCAGTTTTTGCAGCGATTGGCACTGTTAACATGAGCAAAAATTAACGAGCGGCAACAAAATTTGAGCACGTGTACATTGAAAATAAAAATAAAGTCACAAAATATTCCCAAACAGATATTGGTTCTAGCCTACCTTTAAGTTTTGAATAATTACTCTTTTTACTGCTAAAATGTAACTTTTTTATTATTTTAGATTCAAGTAAAAGAAAGATTTTCGCATGAATTGAATCTGAAGTTACTAAACTAGTGTGTGAATTTAATGATCAGTTAACATCAAAACTCCTACACTATTGTTTCAATATAAGTTAGATGCATTCCATTATTATGCGGCCATCTAATGTTGTATTTTTACAGAGTCGGATGGCTCAAAAAATGAAAAAAAAATGAGAGAGGAAAATAGAGGTGGAGCTAATGGTAAAGAATATATCTAAAGTCGAGCAGCTGACAAAAGTTAGTAGTCTGAAGCGATCATTTAGACTTTTGCTGACATCAGTTATTTTGTATCGTATTCCACATTTGAACAGGTCTTCCAGGTTCTATTATACCTTGTAAACTACTGTAATTTCTTCAGCGATTATCTAATTTGTCTCAAATATCTGTTTTCTTCAGTTCATTCCTAATTTTTACTTATAATTCTTTGTACATTTTATTGGTTCTGAGTTCTACTATTACAAGTAAAACATGTAAAGTCAAGACAACTGTGATGTTTGTGGTCCTCTAGATTCTTCAGACAGTTATAAAAAGTGCATCATGGCAGAATAAGAAAGAACAAACTGCCTTTGGATAATGCACGATTTACGTCTGCTGCTGTCATAAATTTTGTTCCAATACTCTAATAAACGATAATTTTCTACCACATTTCGTTGACTTGTATATCATCACGTTTAACTTCAGTATATTAAATATACGTTTAATTTTTTAGTCGTGCAGTTTTTCAACAACTGTAAAAGATTTGTGTCAAGTGCTTCTAGTTGTAAACACAATAAAAGAGGTTACTAATGACACATTACAGTATTGACACCAGTAACTTAATACTAATCAATAATTTGAATTGATTGAAGCAGAATTTAGTCACCAGATGAAGGCAGTGGAAAGACGTACGATTATCTGTAAGGTCTGCATTTTTAAAGAACACAAGATTCTACCTTTCCTTAAATTTGCAGGAGACGTCATCAGTTTATTTATAGAACTGTATAACTGTTTTGTCAGGAAGGCTTTTTGTAATTTTTCGATTGATTTAATCTATGTTGCTAAAGTGAGTGCAGTGAAAAATAACACTTTTTGGAAAATATATTGATAGACATTGACTGTTAGGAAAATATACTCTTCTTTATGTTTGCCATGTCTGCTTGAAATACTGGACAAAGTGCTAGAAATCCAGCTTTACTTTCAGCGATTTTTTGTCGTTTTTCTTTTTCAAACACATTTCTTCTCGTCTCTTTTGTTCATCCAAAAAAAAAACTTTTTGTTTTTTTCAAAAAACTTTTTCTTCCAATCATTACTTCCTTTTTGCTCTTTTTCTTATAGAATATAAAAAGTTTTTTTAGCTTTATCCAAATTCTGCAGAGCAATGAATGAGTAAACATGTTAAGGCCGCAGATAATTCACCGCAGCCGTACAACGGAACCCCATTTTAACTGTTGTCAAACACTCCTGTTTTTCCCCTTTGCCAGCTTTTCTCCCACATTTCCGTTCCCCTAAACGTTATTTTACAAAACCAAATTACTCCACTTGAGCTTTCTTTTATTTTTGTTTATTTAAATATTATACTGGTACTGCAGTTGAAAATTCCCATCCCCAAATATACTCTTTTTGTTTGCTAATGTTACTTCATTTTTTTGCATACAAGATTTCCGCTAAATGATGTGTGAAGGTTTCAGAATTGTCATTTAGCTTTTGGTAGTTTTCTAACTAACAAATGGTAAAAAGTCGCTGTAATCCTTGTCCTTTCTCAACGCGCCCTCAACGTTTTTGCGTGGTGTAACAGTTAACATAAGTGTTCTGTAGCAGCAATTCTGCGAGTCTCAGACGGGTTCAGACCCAGTCTCCGTGCAGTTCGCCTTTTCACATGTCGCGACCATTTTCTGGCCTGCAAAAGTAAAGCGACATGTTTTCACAAATGGGTTAAAATGCGCCACTTCTGCGTTTTTATGCGAGGAGGGCCGATGAGTAAATTGCCATCTATTACCAAACGCCTAACTGGCAGACCAGTGAGATTGATTACTGGTTATTTTTTATACAGTTTGATAATCTTATAGATTGACCGCTGCAACGCGCTGACTGGCTAGCTGGTTGTTGATGAGGGTTGAGGAAGCGGGTAGAGAAGGGAAAGGCAGCAAATGAAAAGAAACAGCAGCAAGCTACAAAGAGACTGTCACACAGAGGAAGGGAGCAACAGCGGAGGCGTAGTAAGAACAAACAGAGCGAAGCCCTGCTGCACCACCGTATTTTAAAACTTTATTTGTGCTCTAAAACGTTGTTGTAGCAAACGATCAAACAGTTAAATAGGCAAAACTTCCCCCTTCAGAATTTACACCAGAAGGCATCCTGCCACTGAAAACGGTTTGAAGCGAGGAGCTTGAGAGCGGAAACAAAAACTAATACTTAGAAACGATTGTTTTGGTGAGGCGGAAATGACTTTAGAAAGAATGATGAACGAGGATCAGGTGAGGAGTATTTCAGGAGCAAAGGAAATGAGTATTATAGTATTAACTTAGTTTGTATGACGACATATGTTTATAAGTTTAAGTTTAAAGGATGTCCTTTGCTTGTTTTACAGTGGAGCTCTATTTACTGCCTCGTCTTCCTTGATTAACGTGCGAGGCCTCTGCAACACCCCTAATCGGTCATGAAGCAGCTCAGTTTTTAAAAAACTCTTCACATTATTAATGGAGTTTTTTTCTTATGCTGGAAATATCATTAATAAATAGCATTAGGCCGACAGTATGTAGTTAAAATCGGTAGATAACTGCCTAAAATGGGTCGTGTGTACGAACTGGATCGCCATACTGGATGGTTAGGACCTCAAATTTAAATTATTAAATTTTTATTCTTTAAAAAAGTTACAGAACAACTGCGACATTATAACAAATTTTGTCTAAAGAAACAACTAAGATACATGTATACCATAGTAAGTAAAAATATAATTTATTTTAAATGGCTACTGATTTAATGTAAGTGGTTTAATATAACTTCAAAGAATTAAAAAAAGCTTGGCTGGCGCTTAAGCCAAGAAAGGCATTTACAACGAGCTGAGCTCTGAGCGATGCTGCTGACCGGTTTGTACGAAACCCGTCCTTGGTTGGTGCATATGCATGGCTTCAGGCTTTCGTTACTCATCTGCATACTCGACTGAAGTGCACAGTTTCCAATAATCGCTGATTTCTCAACTTTATACTCTTTGGATTGCAACGTTAAAGAAAAAACCTTTGAGAAACTGTATGCGGTAAACAGGTCGATAATATCTGTAAAACAGCATATTACAGGTTACATCACTGTTCAACATTCCGTTTACTTTTCCTCTTTCACGTTCCTTCACAACAGGAAGAATGAATAAAAGAATTTATGTTTCGAAATTGTAGGCTACATGTATAAGTACCAATTGCACTATACGGACCCAAACCGCCAGCATTTGGCTGAAATGTCACCAGAACTTTTAGAATAAGTCATTATTTTTAGGTCTGCCTAACTCAAAATTCACTATCTGAACATTTTCTGTAACTGCAACCGCATAGTTCACATTTTTTGTAGTGTTGGAGTGACGCCACAACTCCCAACCGTCTTTTACTACTGTGTCATTATTCTCAGTCGCTTCTTTGATTCCCTATTTCTACAAAGAGCAGAACCTGTTTGTAATGTTTCACTACCATTTACAGGTTTTTAAGTGTCTGACGCACAGTACCATTTTCACAAAGAGACTTGGCAGTTCCTAGCCGACCGAGACTTGACGCTATCGACATGTTTTTTGGGCGACCATTGGAGCGATATCAGTCTTATCCCAATGTGC